TATCTCCTGTCTTTCGTTATCGAGGTCAGTCAACCCGGGACCAGAGACGAAGAGGGACACAGGGGACGATGTTTCACCTTGCGTCTCTTCTGCCTTCCGCTTTGCCCGCTCGTTCGGCCGCCGTTGATCAACGAACGCTGAGTGAAAGTCCGCTCGGCGAGAAGAGCCGCGCGACCGATTGGATCGAGAGGCCGATCAGTGACGCGCTAGGCTCGCGAGAGCTGGCCGTACGCTGCGCGCGGTTCTTAAGAGACACCTGGATTAAAGGAACCTCATGAGTACTGTTGATGAGGCAGCTTTTTCAGGGATGATTCAAGGTATTTGGAAATGGTTGAGTTTAGAAAGCACGTGTCTTATTGCACACATTGTTTGCTTCGTTTAATGGATTGGCAGATGCTAATGCATAAAGTTTGTGGGGGTTGATCCATGTAATATTTCAAGTTATCTATGAACATGGTTAGGTAGGCTGTGAGCACATGAAGAGTGGTAAGCGACAGAGCGCCAAAGAAGCACGAAATAGATACAACTTACAAATTTGAATAGAATAGACTGTACAGCAACTGCAATACTGTTAATGCCAATGTTAATGCTTCATCGCTTTATCTCTATCGCTCACCTATGGCCTTAGAAGGACCCAGCGAATGTTGCTAAGTCTGCTTTTTCGGAGACAGATTCAGGAAGAATGACTTTTAGACATAGTTCAGTTCAAGAAGGATTACCATCAGACATGGTGCAATTCAAAAAGTACGACTTTCAGACATAACTCAAGAGAGAAAGTTTGGAAGGTTTGGTTTAGTAAGGTTTAGTTCAGGTTCAATTTCAGGGATTCGTTCATTTAACGTTTATGGTTATGGATATAATTATAAATTAGGGGATGAATACTATTGCTGTGTCTGCTTTTTAAAGAAGATTTCGGGAGAATGACTTTTATATTGTACATGGTTCGAGAGGACAAGTTTCAACTGTTTGATTTAATAGATTACATGAAGCGAATACGAATAAAGTAGTTTATGATGATCCTCGTGTAATGTTTCGGATTGGTTATATGAATCCCATTGCCTACATTTGCTATACCTATATTGTCAGATGTAATGAAGAGGCTTTACGTTTGAAGTTTCGAAACAGCGCAGTACAGCATTGTACACACAGTAGAAGATGTCAGATTACATTGTAAACAGATATTCTGCATGGTTTGCTAATCAATATCCTATTGAAAGCTTGCAACCTAATAAATGTATCTACAATCGCACGAATTACCGGGATCTTGTAATCTGGCCAGAACTCGACAGAACAAGCAGCAATCAATCTATGTATACAGATAGCAGAATATTTGAAACACGCTTTTCGCTATGAATATCGAATAAACGGATAACATTTGCAACAAGCATTTCACAAATGCAAAATCTACACTACCATATGTATCGATACACCAACTGGTTAAATTTACAAAAAAAAAAAAAAAAAACCAGCAAATTTTGCTTTATCTATACCAAATCGACTGTTTAAATATTTTTGAAATCCCCGTGAAATAATATTTATGTTGTATTATATTTGTTTCAAACTTCATCAACATGATCATAATGCTCGACTCTCGTATCAGTATTAATAAAATTGTAAAATGTTTCGTGTAACATGCATAATAATATATTCATTAAAGCTGTCTGTTACTGTCTATCGTGTAAGTTTTCGACGTTGAAGACGTGCCACGATTGAAGCAACGGGAAAATGAAGGTTGGCATCGCGTGTCGGAGGATCATTGTTCCTCGTTCGAGGCCGGATAATCGATAAACCCGGGAAAACGGGCTGGTTCCATCAACAACGCGTACATGGAACGACGGACGGGCATAATTCGCGGCAACTTGAAAGCTTCGTAATTGCTTGGCTTGTTACGCGATGGATTATATAACGGGTCGACACCTATGTTGATTTCAGCGCTCGCGCGTTACGCGTCCGCTTACATAAACAGCGGCCGGGTGTTTCAATTAATCCGCGAAACATCGATCCCCATCGTTATATCGTTCAAATTTAACGACCCCTCCTTAATATTTAGTAGAGTAAATTCTGACTTTTGGGTGTTTTGTTCCGATGGCTAATTGGGGTTAGGTTAGTTGGGCGGATAATCGACGCAAATATTGGCGCTGA